TATTTAAATTTTTTTTTTTTTTTTTTTTTTTAGACAGATATTTGACTCTGCTTAACTTTAATTTGTTGTGATTACATTTGTTGTGCATATATTGATATTATATCGAAATAGATTTGTGATCTATGGAAACAATGAGATGTTTTTCATTTTTATACATTTTTGGTGTATGTCATTATCAGGAATTCCGGTTAGTGCGCATCCCATAAATGGAGATTATCCGGTCATCTCAAACACGCCTTTTTTTACTTATATGGGACGCATCCGGGAATCTCGACACGGAAAATAACGAGCCACGCCGAGTTGACGTCTCACAGAGGAACCGTAATAAAAATAAACCCAGGAAAGTGATATTTGAATGTGTTGGAAAGTTATTCTAGTGTCTAGAGAGTTCCCCCCCCCCTCGGTAACAAGATAATTGCAGTTAAACATCTTGATTACTGAAAACTGACTCTAGTTATGTTTTCTACACTGTAAGACATAAATCCATAAAAATAACAAAACCACCAGCTCATTACACATTATACATTAATTTTACGGACATTTCTGTTATCTCTAAAACACATCGCAGTGAAGTGAAAAATTCAAAAGACAGGTAAAACATCCTGTAAAAACAAAATAAACAAATGCAGTCACTGTGCCCTGTTTTTATGGATTTAGAGTGTACCTTGTAGGACTTGCAAACAATTGTAATATTTAACTATATTTTAGACTTTCACAGCATTTTGAAGCATTTTAAACATCTCAAAGTAGTTTTAGGAGCCGTTTAACAAAATATATCAACTAACTGCAGGTACTAGGCCTATTAGTTTTCATTTGGTTTGAAATACTCCTAAACATATATTTAGCATACACTATTTATAACATAGCCCTCTATTGTAAGGTCTTATTCTCGTATGTTCTCCGTTAATATGACAGAGGCCGTCCTCGGCTCTTCATCATCTCTCTCGTCACTTTTTGTTTTTCTGCCACCATGTTCTATTTTCATCCATGGCAGCATGAGCAACAGAGCGTTTGCTGGATGTGCGACTGAGGCCTAATTCATAGCCACCCACACACTATGGAACAGCCCCTTCTCCATGGAGTCCTAGCAGAAGTGGAGCCTCTCTGAATAGATCTGCATCTGCCCTCCTATTACTTCTGTACAGACACCCCCAGCCTGCCTGCCTTCTCACACTCGCCCACATGCCCAGCACTGCATGCTGACTGAGCTTCTGTGCACGCCAGTATTACACATTACAAACCCAGCTCTTGAGATCTTATTTAATAGATCATAGTCAGAATTCATATGAAAAGACTCAACCATAAATGTTTGATCTACTTTTGTATGGCAAAATCGTGCTTCCAAACATGAAATCATAACATGTTTATGATTCATTTATAGGTTTTTGCCTGAACATTTGGAAACATCACGCAAAAGTAAATTGAACAGTTTGTAGCAATTCATGCTTTATTACTATAGAGTGAAATAATTGTAAGCATACACATTAAAGTTTTTTTAATAGAGCCTGGAGATTGATTGATCGATCGACCAATCGAATCATATATCTATCTATCTATCTATCTATCTATCTATCTATCTATCTATCTCTGTCTGTCTGTCTGTCTGTCTGTCTGTCTATCTATCTATATCTGTCTGTCTGTCTATATCTATTGGTTAGTACCCCCCTCCCTTTGTGCCCCTCTTATGCCCTCTGTGCCCTGCACGCCCACGCAGCGCCATGTTGGGATGGGTTCACAGCCCATTTTGTTAGCATTGGCTTTGGTGTTGCGTGGGGGTTTGTTGACCCCTGCACACGACGATTAATCAAACGTCACTCTGTGATTTCTCCAAAACTCATTATTCTTTTTTTTATAACACAACACGTCTCTGTTAAATGCAGTTTTTTGATAAATCATCCCTTAAGGCCTATACGCACTTCCATCTGAATCTTTTTTACTTATTTAATCTAGTCAAAGAAATTCATTTGAAGTTTTGATAACTGTTCATTTACATTGTCAGTTGCTTTATTCACAAAGAAACAGACACTTAATTTTCTTACATTTGAAAACAACCAAAGTTGTTTGGGGTTGGTCAGATTTTGCAGGGGAAAAAAAACAGTATGTGAAATATTATTTCTATTTAAAATAACTTTTTTTTCTATTTTATACATTTTAAAATGTAATTTATTTATGTGATGCAAAGCTGAATTTTCAGCATCATTCCTCCAGTCTTCAGTGTCACACGATCTTTCAGAAATCATTCTAATATGCTGATTTGCTGCTCAAGAAACATTGATTATTATTATCAGTGTTGAAAACAGTTGTGCAGCTTAATCTTTTTGAAGAAACCATGATGTATATATTTTTTTAGGATTCTTCTGATGAACAGAAAGTTCAAAAGAACAGCTTTTATTAGAAATAGAAATATACTGTAATATTATAAATGTCTTTGATCATTCTAGCTGAATAAAACGAGTCATTCATTTAAAAAACAAAAATGTGCTGACCCCAAACTTTTGAACATGTATCCTTTAGAAAAAATAAGGAATTCCAAATAGTTTTTCTCTCAGTCTTAACTCGTACACTCCTTCAAAACATTACACAATTCAACTGAGACTTGAACACTTACCATTCTTGACGGCTGCATTCTGCTGAACGTGTGCTTGGTTTTCATGACCAGCGTAGAGCTTTTCTCTTGTCCGGGGTCTTCACGGCTTTCTTCTGCTGTTCGCCCAAACACAACTAACACTGATCAGATATAGTCCTCTACATCTCTAAGATGCTTTTCTATTCATTCAGAAACAACCAAAAACTGGATAATGCACTTGTTCCCACCTCCAAACGCCCTCACAATTGCCACTGGAATGGTAATGAGTGAGATTTGGGAGGCCAGCAGATTGGGCCAGAGAGCGTCTCTTTGAGTCGGGAGGGGGGCGCCGTAGGTGTGAGGGTTTGGTTTAAGCGTGCTACTCTTAATAGCTGACCCTCTAGTGATGGGCTCCAGAGCAACAGCAGAACAGGTTTTGGAGGTTTGTATTTGATTAGCCAGTAAAGTATTCTTTATGGAAATAGAACGTTAGGGGAACGTTTTGTGTTTGCTGGGAAAACCCAGATAACTACAACATTGTCTTACTTTTCAGTTTTTCATTTTTTGATACTTTTGATGTTAAACACCTGACTAGACAGCTTTAAAGACCTCGGTGTGTCTCTTTCTTTTCCATTGGACATCTTTAATAGTGGAGGGTTAAAGTTTTGAGAATTGATCATTGAAAAAAAAAAAAAAAAGCCTTAATTCAAAATCCAAAAGTTATTCTAATCTGTTCACTTGGATTTACTCACCTGCATTTTTATTTCATTCTCAGCTCTCATGCTCTATAGTAAGTGCAGTTTGTTTAGGCATTGCCAGAGCAAATGGTTTCACTGCAGGCTGGTCATTAAGATTTTGGCTGATGTTTCAGAGCTCGAGATGATACAGCAACTAAATTACTGTTTAATCCACTGCCAGAGAACAAGGGACAGTCTGTAATTGACAATTAGGAAATTAAGCAGTACATGTATTATTTGTCTCACGTTAAACTGTGCTAATGTCACTACTATACCAGAATCATTAGTTGTTTATATATTAAAGCAATAAGCCCCAAGAAGTCGTGGTTTACAGTGAATTTGTAACGGTTAAGGCGCGAAGCGGAGTGCCTAAAACCCCCTTAGCTGTTATAAATTCACTGTAAACCACGGCTTCACGGAGCTTATTGCTTTTATAAAACGGTTATTCCATATACGTAGTAAGAGTTCACAGAATAAAACGGAGCAAGTAAAGTGTAATGATATAAATAAAAACCGTATTCTTCCGCCAAACAATGTAGTTCCTCAGAAACGGTTGTGGTTCCAACAAAGTGGTTGCCGAGCAACACACAGAAGTAAACAAAGGTGTATGTTTGTAGTGTAATTTACAACAGCTTCGAACGCGGCTCAACCAATCAGAATCAAGGACCGGAACTATCCGTTTTATATAAATAGTTTTAACATATTCAAAGCAGATATAAGCATACAATAATAACCAAAGCCAAGTATTTCTGGATAAGAAGCTCCAGGTTTTTTTTTTTTTTTTCCACAGGGATCAGTGAACCCCCATCACACAAAATTCCCCATGCGTAGGAGGAAAGAGCAGGAAGATGGATGACCAAGCCCCTATAGTTTGATAGTATTGCTCATGTCATCAGCAAGAAACAAAGACAGAAAGCAGCAGCACGGAGAGGATGAGGAGCGTGGATCATTAGATGGAAAATCAACACTGAAATACCACTGTCGCTCTCATTGTCCATGCCTCTGTCTTTATGCCGTATGAAAGTAGGGTGTATTTGAATATCATAACATAAATGAGGAACTTTGATGTCGTTAATGTTCTGGCTCGTTTCAGATGTTCAGCCTTGTCCTGTTCAGTCAGCAGATATTGCTCAGCGTTCCTCAAATGATTCTTTTGAATGGCCAAAGACAAAACACCCACCCCCAATGTGCACATGCCGGAGTACACATATTCAATCAAATCAAGCAATCCGAGTACAGCCTCTAAATTACGATATCAGTTGAAAAGAGGCTAAAAAGAAAATACACACTCATGTAGTGCTCATTTTCTTAGTTATTAAACTGTAAGTTATTTATTGTCTTTAACAGTATTTGTGTGTGTATATGTGTGTGTGTGTGTGTGTATAATATATGTATGTATATGTGTATATATATATATATGTATGTGTGTTTGTTTGTATGTATGTATGTGTGTGTATGTGTATATGTATATGTGTGTATATATATGTGT